GAAAAAAATTAGAAGTAAAACATCTTTTGTCCATACATATTCTTCTACACAAGGGTGATTGTTTTACGAGCGATGTGACACTTTAAAGAAATATTTAAAAAATTAGTTCATTTCGTGAAGAGTTCAAGGTATTATACGAATATTAGTTTACAAGTAACATTGAGCTTAGTAGCTTGATAAATAGGCATAGACCGATACTGACGACCAATCCACGGTGAACCGAGTCGTTAGCGAGTAGTAGATAAAGTGTTAAGTTAAATCATTAAATCATTTTTGAACAGCCAACGAGTCAAACTCGGCCGTAGGAATGGTACGAATAGCCACGAGCACGCGGCAGTTGTAATTCTGGAGACGTTAGGTCTTTTTTTCTGTTGTAAAATCGCGCAGTATCTGGGCTCCACCGTGGTGAAGGAGTTACGCGGTACCGAGTCGACGAAGAAGTCGATACAGAAGCTGAAGAAAACGTGTCGCGAGCCCAGAGTCACTCCCGACATCACGCTGGCCATCTCTTACCGCGGCGTTCGGTTCCTCAACACGATGACCAACGTAAGACTTTAACTTTATCGGATGTAACGTTAATCCCTCCGTGCACGCTTTTAATTGCAAGTGATGAATTGCACAATGAATTCATTTTCCGCTTCTGCCGCGGGAATCCATCGAATTTCGTCGGGAGGTTACAATTCTCGAACGATCATTTGAGCGAGCGTATAAATAAGGAAGGCAAAATCACCTGCAATTCGTGGAATTTGCGTTGCGCCGAAAGGGATTAACGTTGAACCGCGACACGATTAGCCTGGCTACATTTGTATTTGGAATGATGGGGATCGATAGGAGCCGATTTGCGAGCACGAAATTCGCAACATTCACTGCGCCTGCCAGGACGCCGACGATCTCACGCATTTCGCCTACATCACCAAGGACCACGCCAGCCGCACGCATTTCTGCCACGTATTTTGCGTGCCAACCATGGTGAGTCTGCCGTCATCCTTATTTCTATATACCGTAGCCAGTGTCCAGTGACCAGTGGTTCCCAACTTTTTTTTCTTTTTTTTTTTTGTAGTTCATGCCCCATCTCTGTGACACGTAATTAATAAAAGGCCATTGACTTCAAGGTCT